GATCCCCTCTATTCTCTGGTTCCATTTTGTATTTAATGAAAAAGTCAACACTGTGAGATCTTCCTGACCTAAGCTTTATTCCGATGTGATATAGAGTAAGGGCACATTACTTTCTCTCTCTCCAAACCTTAGTAATACTACCTATAAAATAAAAGGCCAGAACATATGGCACTTTCTAGTCCTTCTGATTGAATTTTCCAAGGTTTTTCAAGGGTGTGTATGTGTATGTGGGTAACCATCGAGAGAAGTCAGAAGCAGGGAGAGAACCGTGCATTTGGGATCTCATGGGCATGATGAAAGTCATTTAAAAGTTCCATTTGTTACTCGTGGGTGCTTGGCATGTACAACAGATATCAAGAATTTGGTAATAGGAGAAAACAAAATTTCCCCACCTTCATATCTTTCTTTAAAATTTTTTCCATTAGCATATGCTCATTGTATGTGGTATTGGTTACACAGCATCATTTTCATACAATTAAATAATATACTTTTAACATATTCACCCATAGCCCCTACCCTCACCAATCTCATGCCTTTCTTTCATACCTGGATTGACTAGGAAAAATCCACTAGGACCCTGATATACTTTCTGAGAGTTTCTATAGTCATCTTTCAAACAAACAAACAAACAAACAAACGATTATAGCAGCTGATGGCCAGCCTAGAGAATTCTTTAGTTACATCATGTCCCCATGTGCAGAATGAGACAGGGAAACTATCTTCCACCAGTACTGTTCTGGGTAATCAGGAGCCTATTCTAAGCAATAAAGTCAGACAGGCACCCAGTGTTCATCAGTCTCGATATTTTTCCTGATCACACAACTTCACATTTAATGCAGAACAAATGATATCAGAAACAATCTGCTCACATCTAGGACATAAAGAGGAGGATTATGGGTTATCCGATTCAGAGAGTGCCCTATGATGGCAAGAAAGAACTATATCATAGAGCTAAATTCTGAGAAAGTTCATGCTTGAGAAATTCAGTTTATCTGAGCTCAGAAAAAAAAATGGTTTAAAGCATCGAGGAACATGTTCCAAAGAGACAGATAGAAGACAAAGAAAAGCATCCAAGGGAAGGTTAAATAAACTGAGGAAGAGGCCATTTGGTCAAAGTTCCCTTCTACCAACCTGAAAACAGCCCACTCTCACGGGGCTCGTCAGCCCCCTTCCTTCTCATGGTTTAGTTGTAACAGAGTTGTGCCCTAATCTGAGCACAGTTTTCATGGCTTCTAAGACATCTTTCGCCTTCTATGATTAAAGGGAAGAAAGGAGTTCTTGCATCAGTATCTTATTTTTTAGGTGGTGGGACCAAATAGTGGGAAAGTTTTCCTAAAACTGTTAGTAAATTCAGTGGGAAACTTTGTACCTGTTCTGATTATTTTATTGGTTTATATGAGCATTTTTGGTCTTAAAAAACAAAAACAAAAACCTCTATAGCTAGTATTGGCTAAGCAGTTGATAGGCTCTTCCTTGGAGACTTTTTCCCAACTGAGCATTCCTCAGTTGCCTATAGTTCTTTTTGTAGGAGTGAGGGCTCATGGGCTCTCCCTATTCCACGTTAGTTGCTACTGCTGCTGTTGTTATCTTTGTTTAGTTCATGTTTAGGCAGCCATGTTGGTAAGCATTTGTGGGTGTAGTTTGTGACATTCCTAGGGAGACAGTCTCACAGCGAACTGCCTGTTCCTCCCACGCCTCTAACGAAGTGATCCTGAGTCTCAGGTGCAGAAGTGTTCTGTGGATGTAGCAGTCAGGACTGGGATCTACAACTCTGCATTCTGATTGGTCATGGTATTCTGTAATGGTCTCCTTCAAAATAGACGGTAGGCACCATGTGTCATTTTTTTATAAACTCAGTGTTTTATTATTCTTAGAAAATGTTTCTCAAAAAAAATACTGTAACTCTAGGGTTTTTGGATTCTATGTGTCCTTGTGAAAGTTAGTCTCTCAGTACATATCCTCAGAACTGTCCAATATAACATAAAGAAAAAACCAAATTCAACCACAAAAACTCCATTCCTTACACAGAATCAGAAATCTGAGGGAGTGGGGGTGGGGAGAAACTTTAAATTCCATTTATAAATATACCAACAAATGTAGTCAAGTCTTGTATTCAGGCCTTTTCCCTTTGTGAAGAATAAAGTAGGACCCAGAAATGTGCGTGAAAATTAAGAGACAAGAAAAGCTAAGATGGAATCAACCTCATTCCCAGTTCGTGGATGTGAGTAGGAAGTGTGAAAACAACAGAAACAGCCCTGCTGGGTCAAAGCAGGGGCTGTAGTTGAACAGGTGCAGGCAAAAGCCATCCCAAGCCTTCCCAGTGATACAGTTGTAGCAGCTCATGGTTAATATTGCTACACCGATACTAGCTGAAGTCACTGCTCTCTATGTAATGATTTGGCTCTTACCTAATGTTCTTGGTTTCAGGATCCCATCCAAAATGTGTCATAATGTTGAATCATCACATTTCTCATTGTCTGAGAATGTGGCATATATAAAAATTAATATATATTAATATATAATATGTATTATATTAATATAATATAATAATATAATATAATATAATATAATAATAAAATAATATTAATATAATATAAATATATATTAATATATATAAATTCTTTCAGAATTTCATACATTGTATTTTGAATCTATTCACTCCTCCCTACCTCCTCCAAGATCTCCCACCCATTCCATAGTTACTCAAATTTTGCCTTCATTTTATGTATTTAAACATGTTTTGCGTTTCAGACATGGGTACTGTATTTACACCATTTCCACCCTTCCCCTAGCTCTTCCTATCTCTTCGTCATTTTTTTTTCTCAAATTCATGCCCCCTTCTCTGATTGTTATTGTTGCACTTAAATACATATATGTGCGTGTATAGATACAATCTACTGAATCCACTGGGTGTTGGCCCTATCTGCACATGTTGAGGGCTCTTGTGTTTGGGACTGAATAACCTATTAGGGGCCTTTTCTCTGGAGAAAACCATGACTTCTTTTCTCAGCGGCCATTCATTTCCTGTAGCTCCAGGCGCATGTGGGGAGGATATTGTGAACCATTGCTGGCCTCCATGGTGGTTTCTGCTGTTCCAGCTGGCATTCTAAGCAGGCTGACAGCTTGGCTGCCTCAAGGGTCAGCTGTCAGCATTGGAACTGCATTCACGTCGCAACCTTGTCTTCTCTGAGTACCAAAGCCAGGGTGTGTCCCGATGAATTTTCAGCCTGTGGATTTGGCAAGTTCCTACTTACCCTAGAAGACATTCACCCAGAGACAGCAAATGTGCAAATCATGGGTTGACACCTGAGGATGTCAGGGAGACCCGGAGGGAGTTAAACAGAGCAGTGAGGCCTCTGCTGACACTGAGGCTGAGGACTTTCAACTTTGCCAAAGAAGGTGGTTAAACACGGACATTGGTTATTGGGCTGTTAAAAAGATCCATTTTATACACTTATTCTTCTACAAGGCAGCTTAGCATAGAAGAGTCCTCCTGGTAATTTCTCAAGGGAAGTGCATGGAGTTGTGGAGATGTAAGCAAGAAAAGGAATTTATTTGACTTCTTGGTAATTTCAAATCTTTTGCCTGGCTTCTCTACTGAGGGGAGAGTTATCTTTGGGCTTGGAACAAAGAAATAAGATAAGGAGGAGCTCAGTGCTCCCAGATTAAAAGCAGCATCCTTGTGTTCTCTTGGATGACATAGAACCTTTTATCTCTGTTTTTCCCATGAAAACACAAGAAAACTGTTCCTTAACTCCTTCCGCACAGCATTCTTCTAGGTAACTTAGCACTTTGGAGACAGAATGACTGAAAATACTTTTTCATGAGCCTTCTCTTAGATCCCCCTGCAGAGCTGGTCTGAAGTGCATGCAGGCTCTCTGCAGAGATGGTTGATTCTGCTGTGCTCTGAGCACGTCAGTGTCTGCCTGGAAAAACTACAGGCCCCCTTTATGAGCCGTGCAGGGGCTTCTCACAGTTGCAGGAAACTGCGCTTTGACAGGAAGTGGACAGGCTCCATTGTATCCAAGTCTCAATACATCAATAGCATTCATGTAGTAACACATCACTAGTGATGACTGATGAAAGCACTGAGTGGTGCGAGTTGTTTTTCATTTGCAAAAGAGTTTTCACTCATTAAGTGTGTACTGTGTGTTTTTTTGATGATTTCATGAAAATAATGACATAACGAAGCCAGTGTCCTTTCTCCATGTTCCAACAGTCATCCTGTCTTCAGCAAGACATGTTCACTTCCGCCCCTACCTGAATACCACTCTGCAGCGCCCCTCACTCTCGAGATGCAGCCCATTGCTGACTCCACTGGCTGCATAGAGCACGGAGCCCTGTTGGACATGTCTCTGCTGCTGTGCGTCCTGCACCTGATACCCTGCCATAGTGCACTCACTGTCTCCCCTCAAGACTGCTAATGACGGAAACACTGGAGGACTCCCACACAGGGCAGGAGGAAGAGTCGGCAGCTTAGAGTTACTCTTGTGCAGGTGTATCTTGGTTATTATTAAAATTTTCCTCAGATTCCATAAGTTCACCTTCTTTCCTGTGTCTCTTTGCCCTGTGTGAATAGGCCCTTTCTGATGAAACAGATCCGTGTCCATCTCATTTGGAAAGAAGCAAATGAGCACATCATATCTGCGATACAGCATGCAACTAAGGGCACGGGCCCACACTTGAGCTACACAATCTTGGACAGGCCCTGGTTGCTCTTGTGATCTCTGCCTTGAATTTCTTTCTGGAAACATCATGTGATGATCTTGAAGTGACGATAAAGAGTTTCTGGGACATGTGGGGGTAAGACAAAGACTGCGCCAACATCATTGTCTCTAGTCTCTAGGAAGGTTGATAATATCTCCTACTGAGAAGAAGGGAGAAGCTAGCATGCCAGATAAGTAAGAACGGGTAATGCTTCAGCCACATCTGTGCAGCCAGCAAAGAACATATAAATGTGGAGATCATCTGAGCTCTCAGTGAAGGCCCCTCCTGGAAAGATGAAGGCCATCTTCTTCAGCCTTTCTCTGCTCCTCCTTCTGGAGAAGCAAGCAGCTGGGGTAGGAATCTATGGTGAGTGCAGGGAGTCGCCTGGCAGAGAGGCTCTTGGGAGAGTGTCCATGTGGGTGTGCTGGCAGTGAGAATACCCTCCACAGGGTGATCTTCTTGATGGTCGTGCTCACGGGAACATCAGCGGGTCGATGGGGGAAATTCTGGGATAAGACCTGAAAGGGAGAAGTATAGGTAATGTAACTCAAAAATTCTTGTTATCAATTACCAGGTGGGACAAAAGGACACTATCTAGTAAAAACATCACCCCAACTTGGATTTATCCAAAAAGACAATCTCCTTTATGGGCAGAAAGAAGCACAGGAAGGCGTACCTGAAGAAAGCATTATTATACAAACCAAGCACAGTGCTTATGGCCAGGATGCTGATGTTGAAGCTGACATGGAAGAGACTCCGAGTTTCCAGGGACAGAGAGATTTAAAGGAAGACATAGGTTGTGATGAAGAAGACAAGATGATTCCAAAAACATCCCAGATTCAATCCCAGTCACAAATAAAATCCCAAATCCAACTAAAATCCCAGGGAGCCCAACTGAAGTCCCAAACAAGCCGGCTAAAGACCCTAGGCCAGGTGAAATCACAAATCAAGCTGAAACCCCAGGCGGCCCCTTACCAAACATCAGTAAGTCTCCAAGGAGCCGTTCTTCATCAAATCAAGGGCAAAGGATATGACCAGGGTAAAGACCTGGCTCTAGACTACCAGCGGCAGCAGAGGATGGTTCAGAGCCACAGAAGAAAGCTTCGTAGGTCCTGGCAAGCAACAGATTTCTTACCGCAGCAGTCCCAACCCTATGATGGGTATATTTTGCAGCTCCAAGGACAACTACAGGGCAGAGATTATCACACAAAATCTTTCCACCAAGCTCAAGGAACGTGCTACTGTCCAAAAGGAGGGTTATTCCTATATCAAGGTGCCTATACAGAATAATACATTCATTAATCAGTCAAGGACCAGGACACATTTAGAGGTAAGTGTCTTATGAAACAAGAGAGGTATCTACCCCAGTGTTTATATATAGTTTGTGATAGACTCTCTGGGCCCATTGTGGGATTGGTAGTGAATCCTACAGCAATGGACATGCTGAATTGCAAAGTTAATCGAGTCAGGCTCCATCTCATGCAGAAGCAAGCACCTGATAGAGGCAGAAAAAGTTACCTGGGCTGTCTCTGTGTTTCAAATTCCTTTTCTTAGTGCATTCTTTCTATACATTTATTTTGCACACATATAATAGTTCTCTGAACATATACCCTTAAAATCATGTAAGTTTAAGATGTGTTTTTGCAACTTCTTATGTTTTGGATTCATAAGGCTCAGTTTCTTGCTACATTGCTACAAAGTATTTATTGGTTTTGTTTCCCGTACTAGTGAATGTTCTTCAATCCCATATCTGGTACATTATCCTTTAGAATCAATAGATCCATGCAGTTTTGTTCCATCTTTGTGAATACAGTAGATAAATGAGTCCAAGAAACCATCCTTTTTTGTGATGCAGGAACTGTGAGGAGAGAGGAACTAGGGTGCTGAAGAATCAGCTCCCGGGGATGTTTGCTCTATCGGAGAGAAATCTGAAGCATGGGGAGGAAAAAGAGGTTACCTGCATTTTTCTTTAAAGGGCACTTTACGTGAAGGGAAGGATAGCGCCAGAATCTGTGGGCCCGGTGTGTGGCTAGTAACCAAAATGGCCATAAGCTGGTCAAACAGACTAGGGACTTGTCACACTTGCTCCCTGTCTGCTGCCCTTCACTAACATGCATCACCATCTTGTCTTCTCTCCACAGGCGTCACCTGACCTGTGCGGATTGTGATGTCTTCAAGATGCGCATTCCCTACTAGTCCTAGATGCCGATACTCGCGCGCCGTGACCCAATCACTCTTTCACTCCTGAGACTCTCTAAACTCGGAGCATCCTTACACCAATGCTCTCTGATAAAGATATCATTTACTTTTCACCGTTGAGATCTCCAAGTTCCTACTTGTTTGAGGGCTTGGATGGCATCTTTTCAAACACCACTCCCAAGCTGAAAGAATGGAACACTCTCGTAGCATTAAAGATAATAGAAAGCAAGTGTTTCCCAATAAAGACATTGTTTTGGCATAAATTGCTTTTCAGTTTGCTTATATATTACGATTGTGTGTGTGAGTGGATGTATCCCGTCAGAATTTGCCTATGTAGGTCAGAAGAAAGCCTTTGGGAGTTGGTTTCTTTCCCCTTCCGTAGGGTCCAGAGATCGAGCTAGGTCGTCATTTCTAAGAGCACTGAGCCTTGCCTCTTTAAACCCCTTGGTTCCTGCAAGCTTAGGGGTTTTCAGGACAGATCTCCAAGTGACAGTTACAGTTGTGGGTAATAGCAGTCACAGCCACAGACCCAGATCTCTGTCTAGAAATGCAACATCAAAATAAGTAAAAAGGTCTCCAGTCACCCTGTGCACATGCTGAGGACAGCTCCCAAACCCCTCAAGGCCCTTTTGCTAGTGAGATTTCACCATCTATCTACTTAGAAATGTCAGATAAACCCTACTCTGGCAGGCCATGGAGAATTGACACCCTGGCAGTGGCACGTCCATCAACCAGCAGTACCTTACTTATTTCAAAAGTATTTTCTTCTTTTCCAGTTTCCTTTCAGAAGCAAATATCTCATGCACTGATATATTAAGCCCGTACCACTCTAGCAAAACAGAACATGTTAACCAATGTCACTGTGGACAGACAGAATGAAGGACCAAATATAATAGTTGGATGGGGTGTCTTCTAAATGTCAACTTTAACTGCTTAAATGATCTACTTTCTGATATCTAAGAAGCTTCCCAACAAGTCAAATTATTTAGGAATAGAAGATAACATGGAAGAGTAAAGACAGCTTCCAGTTCCAGGTCAGCCACAGGAACCACCACCAATCCTCAGTCTAAGCCATATCTATCTCTAGGCCTACATCCATGGAAAAGTTGTTCATGTGAAAAGTTCAGGAAGCAACCCTGAACTCCATTTCATATCTGTTGGCTGAAATAAGGTACAGCTGCCCCACTTCTGTGATTATATGACAGGAAATGAACTGATTTATTTATTCATGAGTATGTTTGAAGCTTTTGGAAAGGAAAGAATGACTCTTGGTGTGGTCAAGTATCAACACACCTGCCTCTGCCCCCACAAGTCCTGAGCCACATGACCAGGAGTCAGAGCCACCATCCCTCTGATTTTAGAAAGTATAATTCCTCTAGTTATGAACAGAAAGCCATCGCTCTTTTGTTGTGCATTCATAGGGGTTGGCTGCCATCTCCATTTGCATGTGCAGTGAATAGGGAGAGCATAAAAATGAGGGATTATCCAAGCTTTAGAACATAACAAATTTGGTTCTTCTGAGGTTTGGAAATTTGAGAGCTCTGAGTCTATTTTTCCTTATAATTTCCTCATTTGAAAATTACAATTGGAAGTACATTACATGTATAGGCGATAGTAAGTGACATTGTCAAGGTACAGCCAAGGGTGGAATAAGGTAGATCTTAAAGGTTTGACCATAGAATGACCACATTTTTCATGCAGTAAGAACAGATAGTAGAAAGCAGAATGTAGATTGTTACAGGTTAAAGTAGAGTCTCTGCCAAATGACCTGTTGACTTCTGAGTTCTGGATAATCTAAAAATGAGAGAATCCTTGAGGAAGTTTTCATGTAGCCAAATATGATCACAGAGTACTTCCACTCAGAGCCAGTCATAACCAAGCATCCTTTAATCTTCCTTCTTACTGTTTTAGAATTTCGTACATGCATGGGATAATTTTGAATAAATACATTGTCCTATCCATTTTCTCCAGTTTCTCTTCTAGCCTCTCACCGCTGTTATTCCTTCCCAATTTATGAGCTGTTGTTGTTGTTTAATCCACCGAGTTTACTTACTGTGCCCAGGTGTAGGATGATCCACATGAACATGGGTCAGCTCCCAGAGGGCTGCATCCTCCCAGCAGGCATAAATTGACAACAGTTACTTGTATAGCGGTGAATATCTTGACCTCCTCCCCTACACATACTAAGAACTTTGGCTTGTTTGATGTTGCGCAGATCTTATTCATGCAGTCCCAGCTGCTGTGAGTTTCAGTGTGCAATAGCACTGCCATATGTAGCAAATGCTGTTTCACTGCAGACTCTACCACCTCTGACTCTCACCACCATTCTTCCCTTTTCTTGAGTGATGATCCTGAACCTTGTTGGGGAGGAAGTGTGATCCTAGTGTCCCATTTAGAAATGAGCTCAACAATCTGTTATGTTTGTACTGACCAATTGTGGATCTCTGCATTAATCATACCCTATGGTTAAAAAAATAAGCTTTTATTGCTGAGGCTTGAGATGTGCACTACCTATGCATACAAAGAAAATTGGGTGCAGCTACTCCTGATAAGATCTGATAGACTAATATCAGAAGGAAGGAGAGGAGGACCTCCCCTATAAGTGGACCTGGGGAGGAGCAGGCGTGAAGAAGGAGGAGGGAGGATGGGATTGAGAGGGGAGGAGGGAGGGGCTTATGGGAGGATACAAAGTGAATAAAGTGTAATTAATAAAAAAATAAAAAGAAAAAAGGAAAAGAAAATTGGGTGAAGTTTATCATTTTTTAATTTTTATTAATTATACTTTATTCATTTTGTATCCCCCCTGTAGCTCCCTCCATCCTTCTCTCCCAATCCCATCCTCCCTCCTCCTTCTCCAAGCATGCCCCTCCCCAAGTCCACTGATAGGGGAGGTCTTCCTCTCCCTCCTTGTGATCCTAGTCTATCAGGTCTCATCAGGAGTGGCTGCATTGTCTTCCTCTTGGTAAGGATGTCTTCGTCTTGGCTTGGTAAGGATGCTCCCCCTTCAGGGGAAGGTGATCAAAGAGCAGGCCAATCAGTTCATGTCAGATACAGTCCCTATTCCCCTTACTATGGAACCCACTTGGACACTGAACTGTCATGGGCTATGTTTGTGCAGGGGTTTTAGGTTATCTCCATGCAAGGTCCTTGGTTGGAGTATCAGTCTCAGGAAAGACCCCTGTGCCCAGATCTTTTGGTTCTGTTGTTTTCCTGGGGAGCTCCTGTCCTCTCCAGGACTTACTATTTCCCACTTCTTTCATAAGATTCCCTGCACTCTGCCCAAAGGTTGGCCACGAGTCTCAGCATCTGCTTTGAAAGCCTACAAGGTAGAGCCTTTTAGAGGCTCTCTGTGATAGGCTCCTGTCCTGTTCCCTGTTTTCTCCTTCATCCAATGTCCATCCTCTTTGCCTTTCTGAATGGGGATTGAGCATTTTAGCTGGCATCCTCCATCTTGATTAGTTTCTTTAGGTGTTGAGATTTTATTAGGTTTATCCTATAAGTTTATTATTATGTCCATTTAGCAGAATAATCATGTTAGGTTCTTTTCTAGAGCCTATTATCTAACCAGACATGGATTTTGAGATCAACTAAGAGTGCCAGGAATGAGCCTTCCTCCTTACCCCATTTCTTTGTGTCACCCACCAATACATAGAGGTACTCTCTACCTAAGAACCCACTGGCCATGCCAGTATGGTGATTATGTACTTATCAACAGCTAGAACCACAATTACCCTAAACACAAATGCCTAGATACCAGTGCAAAAAAACACAACCACGAACACTAAAGCGACAATGTTTCCAACAAAACCCATCAAACCTATGACAGTAATGTAATATAGTTGAAGCACAAGATAAGAACTTCAAAATGGTTGTTATGAATATGTTCAAGAACCTCAAATAGGATATGAATAAATTCTTTAATGAAGTCTATGAAAACACTAATAAACAGTATAATGGAATGAAGGAAACAGTTCAAGACATGAAAGTGGAAACAGAACCACTAAACTTCACCAACAGATATAGAAATGAGAATATCAGATGTGAAAGACAAAGTAGAAGAAATGAATACTTCTGTAAAAGAAAATGTTAAA